GTCCCGCCCGGGCCCCCTGAACGCCAGCGGCTCTGCTGGGAGAGCTGCCGATCGGCTCGCCTGGGACATTCCCGCCTTCCTTGTCACCCAGGCAGCCCTGCAGAGCTCCCACGGGGGGTGGGGGTGGGGGGGCAACCTGGCTTGCTGGCTCCACACAGAGAAGGAGGGGCTGCCCCACTTTCCGCTGATTTGCCCCCTCCCTCCCCCCCATGTCTGGGCACCCCCCTCCGTTGGCCCTCTGCCCTTGCCTTCCCATCCTGGCCCCTCTGGGGGCAGCAAGGCTCTCTCTGGGGAAGGGCTCCTTGCTCCCCACACCCCCCAGCTGGGCCGTGCCTTCCCCAGAGCTTGTCAGGCGAGTGCAGACCTGGGCCTGGCGCTGAAGTGGGCGATGCCAGGGTGCTGCTGATTCCCTTATCAGAGCCTGGCAGCCTCTGGCCTCCTCGTCCCTCCGATCTCATCCAACCCAGCTTTCCCGCATCCCCCCCCCCCCCCCCCCCGCCAGTAACCGTAAGCCTACATTCCCGTCTCAGGACAGAGGGAGTCCTCAAGTTACAACCACAGTTGAGCCCTAAACTTATAGTGCTAAGTGAAACATTTGTCTAGAGAAAAGAAGGAGGGGGGGGCAGCCTTCCAGTATTTGAGGGGCTGCCACAAAGAAGGGGGGTTGTCAAAATAGTCTCCAAAGCATCAGAGGACAAGAAACAATGGATGGAAACTAACTAAAGAGAGAAGCAACCTCAAATTAAGGAGAAACTTCCTAATAGGGAGGACAATTAACCAGTGGAACAGCTTGCCACCAGAAGTTGTAGGTTTTTCATCACTGGAGGTTTTCAAGGAGAGACTGGATGGTCACCTGTCTGAAATGGTGTAGAATCTCCTGTTTGAGCAGAGGGCTGGACTAGAAGACCTCCAAGGTCCCTTCCAGCTCTGTTCTGATTCTGAAGTGACTTTTGCTCCTTTGAATGACTTCTTGTCACAGTGAATCAGTGCAGTAGTTAAGTTAGCCAATAGTCCACATTGAGTTTGCTGGCCAGAAGGTTGCAAAAAGTGATCATGTGGACACAGAGACCGTCATAAGTATGAACTGGTTGCCAAGCATCCAAATTTTGACTATGTGACCATAGGGATACTGGGACGGTCGTAAGTGTGAAATGTGCATCCTTCTGACAAGCAAAGTCAATGTGGGAAGCCAGATCCACTTAACGACCGTGTTACTGACTTTGCTATGTTTCGCATAGAAAGAGAAATTCTGGGTTCAGTTGTGGTCGTAAGTCAAGGACCGGCATAAAGGAAGAAAAATGGAAATGTGTGTAAGCAGAAGAGAAGCGGAATATTAGAACAATAAAAGTGAACAAAGAAACAATGAGAATAATTACATTGATATAATGACCGAGTGGGATCACCCTTTTGACGCGCTCGAACAAGCACAATTCAGGAGACCGTGAACTCGAATCAGTGGCTCCTTAGTTGCCTCTCAATTTATTTTACTTAACATAAATTTGGGGCTCAGTTATGGTCGTAACTCGAGGACTACCTCTACTAAATGATGCCGTTTCTGACTTGCTTCCTTTTTGTGCTTGCTTAAATTTGGTTAAACTTCTTTTTTTTTTAAAATAGTTTTTATTAAACATTATTACCTTTAAAAACAGAAAGAAAAATACAACAACATAAGAAAAGACAAAACATACATAACAATATAGAGTAAATATACAGCCTTTTGTATCGGCATTCATTAGTTATACANCTAAAGACTTCAACCCCACCTGAATAGTATGACTGTTGTGCTTTTTAACGATGTATTGTCTTCATGTGTATAACTTGTTTTGTCCTTCCCTCCCCTTGAATTGTGAGCCACCCTGAGTCCCCCCAGGGAAAAGGGCAGCATACAAATAAAGTAAATTGAACCTCACACCATGTCTTTAATAGTTGGCATATCAGCATCCCAATCACAACAATCGACTTTCCAAAGCCCCCCAAGGCCAGAGAAGGAACAACGGATGACCAAGGAGAGATTCAGCCTGGAAATAAGGAGGGATTTCCCGACAGGGAGAACAATGGGACAGAAGTTCCCTTCGGAAGTTATGGGAGTTTCATCCCTGGAGGCCTTCAAGAAGAGACTGGACTCGCATCTGCCAGAAATGGTGCAGGGTCTCCTGCTTGGGTGGGGGGGTTGGACTAGAAGACCTCCAAGGTCCCTTCCAGCTTCTGATTCTGGTTCCTCCAGCCTGCCTTCAGAGGCCTCCTCCTCCAGCAGGGCTCCTGTTATCACCTTCCCCAGTGAGGGTGGGGGGAGCTATCCCCAGGCCTGGTCGGCTGCTTCAGCTGGGCCCAAGAGATAGGCCAGGCCAAACACAGCCGTGGTGCTGGGACCACCCCCACCCACGGCACACCCACGGCCCAAGGCTGGCAAGAGAGATAGCCCTGCCCCACCTCCGAAGCCGAGGAGGGGCTGAGGGCCAGCAGGGCAGGGAGGGGGCCCAAGGCAGATTGAGCCCAGATTCAGGGGTGGGGAGCAGAGGCAGAATTGGGGCCTGGGGCTGGCTGGTGAGATCCCTGGTGGAATCAATCCCCCAGAGGGTCCTCCTGCCCCTGCCCCAAATTCCTCCCTGCCTAGAGACAGGAATCCCTCGTCTGAGGCAGATCAGGGGAGGCTGCTCGGAGCCCCCACTGGGGGCCCCATAATAGGGCCGTTTCTGGAGGGTTCAATCTAACCCACGGCTGTGAGCTGACGGCCTCCCCCACTCCCTGGGCCGCCCCCACCTGCTCCCCCTCTCCTCTTCCTCCAAGGGTCCCACCGGGTGCGTAACACACATGCTGGCCACAGGAACAACGACCCTGTGGAGCAGGCTGAGCTCAGCTGATGGGGGAGCCGTAGGGGCTCTGCTGCTCTCTTAACCCCATGGCTCTGGAATGGGGGCTCCCCTGTCTGGGGGGGGGCCTTCAGAAGAATCCACGCACCCTAATATCCCTCACAAACAGTGACAGCTGGCCGACCACCTGCAGCCACAATTCAGCCCAAGATTTATGTCACTAAGCAAGGCCACGGTCAGTTTTGCCCCATTTTATGACTTGCCAGAGTTGTTAAGTGAATCCCTGTAGTTCGCATGGTTGTTAAGTGAATCTGGCTTACCCATGGAATCTGCGTGTCACAAAACGCATTGCATGACCATGGGACACACTGCGACCGTCATAAAGACGAGTCAGTTGCCAAGCGTGACCCTGGGGATGCTGCAATGGTGTGGAAAACGATTCAGGGGCCCAACAGGGGAACCGTTGTGAGGACTTCCTGAGCATCCTTCAGAGGGAAACTGCGGCCCATCTCAGCAAAGCCTTCCCCAGCTGCGCCCCCTCCCATTCCTCAAAGGGAGAATTGGGGAGGGGTTTCTCGGTCGCTGAGGGGGGGTGCCTGCTCACGGCTGCCTGTCGCCCCCCCCCCTCGCTGCGGAAGCCAGAGGCAGGACTCTCCCTCCCTCCCCTGGCAAAGGTTGAAGAATCCGCTCTGGAAAAGAGTTTGGTGGGGGCAGCTAAGAATCCCCCCCCCCCGGGTCCCCGTCCAGCCCCCGCTCTGCCCCCTTATGATGGGGCAGAAATGAAGCTTGTGCCTCTAAATGTGGGGCAGGCTCTACATCAGCGCTTCTCAGCCTTGGCAACCTCGAGGGCTGCCGACTTCAACTCACGGCCTGGACTCCCCTTGCCAAGAGTCGCCCATTGTAGCCCCCTGCCCCAGTTGAGGGGAGAGCGCCGCCCCGCCAGCCTCCGGGTCCCCGT